TTGAAACCCTGAACCGGACCAAAATTCCAATATTGCCTTGAGCCTTGGAGATAGATGGACAAAACTGGAATGTTACACCTGACCCCTAGACTCGATTATTATACTGCACTTGGTGTCGGATTGGGCTGCCTTTGATATGCCAATCAGTGAGATCCTTAGAGGGGGTCAAAACTTGGGTATGTTGGGGCAGTCCGAGAATTCATTTGAGTGGGTAATCATAGTGACAGGATTAGCCCCTTTGTCGGACAAAGTGAATGATGGAAACCTAAACCGCCGGCAGTTGATTTCAACTGTAGAAATTTGCTTTTGCAAAATATATTTATATAGAGATATACATATATGGTTTCAAAATGTTTGCAAAAGGTTTTAATTCCYGGGATCCATGTGAGTAGAGAGTGCAGCAATGCACCTTGCAGCCAAGGGAGAGGTCCTCTCTTGTCGGGCAGTGTTTGTTCATTATGGGCTGAGAGGTTAAGTGTAAGACCATTGAGGATTATACCTAATGAGCTAATCTAGCATCATCCCACAGTCCTTGGGCCTTCATAAGATGGCTGGACGCAAGGACCATTTAGTGTAAATGTTGGGCCCATTAAGAGCCCATTGTGATGGACTCAGGGGTTCACTGTCTTCAGTAGTGAATTCGGTCAGGCCTTGTAATAGAGGCTAGGCTGAACCCATGTGGCTGATGTGTAGATCAATGATAGGGTCCCACGCCATACAAAGAGAGCCAATCTAGCCAACATTAAATGGGAAGTAAGCCTGAAAGCTTAATGGGCCTAAAAGCCCATTTCGAACTAAGTTAATTAGATTAATTAAATAGAGGCGGATCTGGGATTTGGATCAACAGATAAGATAAAGGATTATCCTTATCCACTTAAAGAGTCCAGATCCAAATAAAGATTTGGATTAAAGGAACTCCTAATTTGATTAGGAAGGCTGATCTTTATCTGTTGATAAGATAAGGAATTATCCTTATCACTTAAAGAGTCCAGATCCAAATAAAAGATTTGGATCAGGAAACTCCTAATGAGATTAGGAAACTGTCTCTTTAAGGCTATAAATAAGAGAATAGGGCGAACCTCCAAAGACACATTCACTGAATACAGAGAGAAGACAACACAGTTAGACTGCTCTTGCCTTCTACTCTTTTTCTTCTTGCTCTTGCCGCCCTACCCTGTTCGATTTCCAGTTCTTGGATTGGATCAAGATTCGATCTTGATATTGTTTCTTGCTAGAAGAAACAATTTAGACGCTGTGCTCATTGTCCCATTCGATTCTTGCTGAAGAATCACTAGTTCTTGGTGAAGAACTACCTACTGATCCTGCCTCATCCTAAGCTGCGTCATATTCAGTGGAGGGAGGATTTGGTACACTCTTTGGGCATGAACACCTACGTTGGGAGGAGCATTCTTGCGTGGATTCCGTATGAGGTATATCCCTCCCTTAATTTGGTTTCAGATTTGGTCCGGTTTGGTTACAAGAACGAACCTTGAAAATGTAGTTTTCTAAATTGGGAATAGGATTCCGGATGAGAGTAAAGAAAATTTTGAAATTTTGCCCAACCTTCCTGCAGGGTTCTGCCATCCATATGATGGATCTCCCATCCCTTCACTGATTGCACTAGCTGTCCGAGGGGGTACAAGTTTAAATGTTGGAGGTTCTTTTAAAAAGGGAGATTCACAGAAGATAGTGGATGACAAAGACAAACTTTGGTGCACTCACTGTCAAACGTCCAGGCACACTAGAGACACATGTTGGGATCTTCATGGCAAGCCGAAATGGGCTCAAGAATTAAGTAAGAAGTTTGATCCGATTAAGAAGCTAACCTAGCAGAGTTAGAAGAAATATAACTCAACAAACGTGGCATCTCAAGAGACTAGTCCCATGGTACCCCAAGAACGACACTCTGGTTCTGACCCCAAGGAAGAGATCATCAACTCCTTTCCTAACCACTTGGAATTATATGGTAGGACACTTCGCCAAATGGATTTTAGCCCTACTCCTTCTACCTCCTTTGCATTTACATCAAGTAAGATTGCCACTGCCTTCCATGTGTCATCTCATACATCTGATTCCCCTTGGATAATTGACTTTGGAGCCTCAAACCACATGACTGGTAAGTCAAATTTATTTCAAGCATATAACCTCCTCTCTGGGAGAGATAAGGTGAGACTGGCTGATGGGTCTTATTCCACCATAGCCGGTCAAGGAACCATCTCCCTTCCTCTTAGTCTTACCCTCTCTAATGTGTTGCATGTTCTATCAATTTACTATCCATTAGCAGTATTACTCATTCCTTGAATTGTTCAGTGACCTTCTTTCCTTCTTCGTGTGTATTTCAGGATTTGACCTCGAGGAAGATGATTGGTAGAGGAAGCATGGTGGATGGCCTTTATGTGTTGGAGAATAAAGCTGGTCTTGTGGCTACAGAGTCTTTAAGTTCTTCTAGTGAGAGTTATGCCTACTTGTGGCATAATCGTCTTGGTCACCTTTCGTTTGAGTCTTTAAAACTTATGTTTCCTGAGTTGTTTAAGTCTTTGTTAGTTAGTAAATTGCAGTGTCATACATGCCAATTGAGCAAACATTGTAGAAATTCCTTTCCTTTAAGAAATAAAATATCTGAATTTCCTTTTCATTTTGTCTATTCTGATGTTTGGGGTCCTATTTCTCTACCTACTGAGACTGGATATAAATATTTCATTATTTTAATCGATGACTACTCTAAATATACTTGGGTGTATCCTATGCGATCTAGAGATGAAGTGCTAAAGATTGTGAAAAACTTTCAACGAATGGTTTTCACTCAATTTCAATCTGAAATTCACATTTTCCAGTCGGACAATGCAAAAGCGTACTTCCATAGTGATCTCACAGAGTTCTTTGCTTTGTGTGGATCTCTTCATTGAAGCTCTTGTGGCAGGACACCTCAACAAAATGGTGTTGCTGAAAGGAAAAATCGTCATCTACTTGAGGTAGCTCATGGTTTATTACTTCATATGAATATTCCGAAACATTTTTGGATGGATGCTATTATGTGTGTTGCATATATCATCAACCATATGCCATCTCGGTTACTAGAGAATAAGGCCCCACATCAACTCTTGTTACCTACAGCTCTGTTGTCCCCCATTCCAATGCGTGTCTTTGGGTGTCGTTGCTTCGTTCATGACTTGTCTCATACTCACGGTAAACTCGGTCCCCGTGCCACTCCTTGTGTTTTTCTTGGTTATCCGTTATCTCAAAAGGGTTACCGCTGCTATGGTCCTGTTTCACGCATGTACTATGTCTCCATAGATGTATCATTCTTTGAGAGTCAACCCTTCTTCTCGGTTTCTCCTCAGAGGGAGAGTAGGGTTGAGGAGAAACACACTCAGGTTCAACTACCTTCTCTTCCCAACCCTTCTCCATTTTGAGTCTTTCTTCGCTGTCATAAGAGCCAGCAGAGTTCAAGAGCCTTGGAACCTGAAACTATGCAACCAATATCATCGGACTCTCCAGAGGTAGATCCTCCTCATCAACCAGGTACACTTGTTCCCATTGATATGCCTGAATTTCTTAACATCGATCTTCCTGTTGTTAATGATCTTGATGTTCCTATTGCTAAGAAAAAGGGTGTTAGGTTTTGTACTACTAATCATCCTATCTCTCACTTTGTGTCCTATGATCATATTTCACCTTCATACTGTGCATTCCTTTCCTCTATTGACAGTGTCTCTGTTCCTAAGAATGTGGCAGAAGCTTTATCCAAACATGAATGGACAAATGCAATGAAGGAAGAAATTAATGCCTTACACAAAAATGGCACCTGGGAGTTAGTGGATCTTCCCGAAGGGAAGGAACCAGTGAGTTGCAAGTGGGTATTCACAGTAAAGCATAGAGCTGATGGTTTAGTAGAAAGATACAAAGCTAGATTGGTGGCCAAAGGGTTTACACAAGTGTATGGAGTAAACTATGCAAAGACCTTTGCTCTAGTAGCCAAGATGAATTCAATCAGAACCCTCCTCTCACTGGCAGCTAACCTTGATTGGGAACTTCATCAATTGGTTATCAAGAATGCATTCTTGAATGGTGACCTAGAGGAAGAGGTTTACATGACTCAACCTCTAGGTTTCTGTGCCAAAGGTAGTGAACAGAAGGTGTGCAAGTTAAAAAAAATCTTTATATGGGTTGAAGCAATCACCTCGGGCCTGGTTTAGTAGGTTTCATTTAGTAGTGCAACAGATGGGATTCAAACAATGACAGTCAGATCATACTTTATTTGTGAAAAAAGGTGAAGGGAAAATTGCAGCTTTAATTGTCTATGTTGATGACATAGTAATCACAGGAGATTAGAAGACTAAAATACAGAAGCTAAAGAAATTCCTAGCCACTCAATTTGAAGTGAAAGATCTAGGCCCCTTACGTTATTTTCTTGGAATTAAATTTGCCTGCTAAAAAAGGGGCATCTTTATTTCCCAAAGAAAATATGTACTAGATCTATTAGAGGATATAGGCAAGTTGGGAGTGAAACCAATTGATTCACCCATTGAACCCAACCATCAACTAGGAAACAGTCAGGGGGAGTGTTTGAAAGATGTAAAGAAGTTCTAGAGACTTGTAGGGAGACTCTTATATTTTTCTATGACCAGACCTGATATTGCCTATGCAGTGGGTGTTCTTAGTCAATTCATGTATAATCCTAAGACAACTCACTTTGAAGCTGTAGAAAGAATCCTTAGATACCTCAAGAATTTCCCAGGAGCTGGTTTGCTTTTCTAGAAACATAGGCATTTGAAAGTGGAGGTGTATACAGATGCTGATTGGGCAGGGACAATCGATGACAAAAAATCTACCAGTGGGTATTGTACCTTTGTGGGAGGAAACCTAGTCACCTGGAGAAGTAAGAAGCAAAGAGTGGTGGTTAGATCCAGTGCTGAGGCAGAACACAGAGCCATGTCTCTTGGAGTTTCTGAAATGATGTGGATAAAAAACTTGTTAGGAGGGTTGGGTTTTGCAGTTAACAAACCTATGTCACTTTACTGTGACAACAAGGCTGCTATCAACATTGCTGCTAACCCAGTCCTCCATGATAGAACAAAACATGTTGAAGTGGACAAGCATTTTATTAGAGAAAAACTTGTGAGCGGAGAAGTGTGCACTCCTTATGTTAGTTCAGAGGAACAACTTGCAGACATCTTCACCAAGGGCCTTTTACACGTGCAACATAATAATTTCTGTGACAAGTTGGGCATGATTGACATCCACGTCCCAACTTGAGGGGGAGTGTTGGAATGTTAACTTTATTTATTATGTTTGTATTCTGCTGAGTTAGGGTCCGTTTGGACAAATTAAAACAGTTTTTTCTTTTGTTTTTTATGCTGTAACTTAAGTAGGGGCATAAGGGTCCTTTCCCTTCTAATTATGGTCGCCCTATATATATTAATATAAGTTGGCACCGCCAGCACTGTAGCAGACTCCAAATCTCTCTCTTCTCTTCTCTTCTCTTCTCTCCTCTCCTCTCTTCTCTCCTCTCTTCCTCTTCTCTTCTCCTACCTCTCTTCTCCTCTGTTCGGCTGTTAATACTACTAAAGACAAAGATGCCAACAAACCAATAAACCATTGTCATTGGCAGAAGTATTTAACAGTAAAATTGCAGCAGTAAAAGGCCAGAGTGAAATAAGGAATCATAGAAAGAACCTCTGTACTTTTACAAATTTTAATAACATGGTCAGGGATGAGTTTATGGGATTTGAATAAAGTACCAGGCTATTGAAGTAAAAGCCAACAGTTGTAAAGTAACAGGATAGCATCCGGAAAAAATCGAACCGATGTCCAAGACGGTATATGTCACGACTTAGCGTTTGTTCACTATTTCCGTTGGATACTTTTGCTTCAAACTTTGAGATCTGATTTAGGCCTACATCCCGACCTTTTCCAATCTGCATATACTCATGGTAGACAACATGTCCCTTTCGTAATATGGAATTAAACCCTACATGAAATCAAACGATATGCCATTATTAATAAAATTGAAGACTGCAACCAAGAAACCGAAGATAGTAATTTCTACAACAAGCATTCTTTCTTAATAATTGCTACCAGCAAAAACATCTTCACTCAAGTTAATGGTCTTCGAAGCTTTACTGATTCCACCTCTTGTTATGTGAAATATTCTATCAAATAAATCTGGATGTCCATAGTGAAATCGCACTCTGTACATAAAAGACAATTGTATTAGATGTAGATAGATAGAAGGATAGAAAATAAAGATTAGAACATCAATGAGGACTACTAAGGAATATCAGAGATGAGAATGAAAGTTAATGTCATACCACACTTCAAGTGATTGCAAGAATTGCAACTAGATTATTATTTTCATCTCTTATCCATACAGTTTTCAAAGTTGAACTAGCATATACCATTCCTTACCTCAGAGGATTTGCTGTAAGCCTTTGACCAATGGTGACAAAACTACTTTCCTGGTAGGACATGAACCGAGCCAATGTTGAAATACTGCAATTAGGGAGAAAGCTATAAGGACCCAGGACAACGATTCAAATAGAAAACAGTATATATCTTATTAATTTAACATAATATATTATTTTCATAAAAAATTAACATAATATTATTATGTACAATATAATATATTGGTGTCCTTTAACAAAATATTAGTTTTTCCTTGGAAAATGATATTAAGTAGGAAAATGAATCATGTTCTTAATTTTCCTGGTGCCTCTCTTGGAAAACAAACAGGCTGAACCAAGGAGAGATTGGGGATGCCCTGACCCTCAATTCTTGAAAAATTCAATATGAGATTCGTGATGTACAATCTAGGCTATACCAATTGCTTAGAAGAATTTATTCAATGGTCCCATTGTAATCACCATTCAGTTGGTATGGTCTCCGAAGGTCTGAAGAGACGATGGGGAAAAGAGGGGAAGAGAGGAGAATAGGGATAGATGCTTTAAGAGACCCTAGATTTAGGGTTATGTGGCCGTCTCCAATGCGAGGAGAGTTGTTCTCCTTTTATAGATGGAATCCTGAGGCTATTAGGAGAAGATCCCAAAAGAGACCTTTCCCTATTAGGAAAGAGGGTCTTTATCCTTACGGCAGCTATCAAGTGGACTCCAGTAAGGTTTAGCCATGTGTCTATCAAGACCCTCTAGGAATAGAGTTTCCTTTCCTTGAGGACTCTCACATAGCACATGTCGGCTACACCCCTTCATGGTTCTCTTGTAGCCACGTGTTAAGACTTGCAATTGGCTGACGTGTTCGAATGTTTCTGTAAGTCATCTTTGAAGCATTTCGTCATAGGTCTACGTTATCATGTTATGTTCATCGCAGGTCTCGGATGGCTCTTCGTGCTCATCGCGGGTCCCAGACGGCATTTCGTGCTCATCGTAGGTCTTGGATGGCGCTTCGTGCTCATCGCAGGTCCCGAATGGCATTTCATGCTCATCGCAGGTCCCGGACAGCGCTTCGTGCTCATCGCATGTGTGTGTGTCTCCCATTGCCTTAACAGGGTGTTGTCATGCCATTGCAAAGGTATTTTGGCTGCCCTGGTACCTGATGTGTTTGTTTATCGTCTTGCTCGGCTTGACTGCTGTATTCTTTCTTGTTTGAGGTTTCCTTATGCAGTTCTTGTCCAGGGTCTCTATTACAGTCTCGGTGATGATGATTATATGTACACAAAAGGAAAATTTCCTGGGTCCACCTCTGTAAATAGACCTGAATAGTTGAGAAATATTTGTTGCAAGATATGAATCTAAAGGACCAACCACTGTTCAGAAAATGACTTTATGAAAGATTAGAAACAATGACATTTCTCTACAATTTGTACTCACTTTTTCGAAGGAAAATGTTTGTTTTCCACTATAAACAGATTTGAACATAGCCTCTAGTTTTATCCTACGGGCGTATGATAAGCTAGTTGTATTGTGTTTCTTTTTCTTTTGTTTGTAACATACCTATGTAATTAACGGAGGTGAACGGAGGCGGGAGCAAAGGCGAACAGAGGTAACGGACGGTGAATGAAGGGAAATTGCTTGGGTCGAGATGGGAAGTTGTGTTGTGTGGGTAGAAGTTGCGGCTGGTTTAAGTTTCTTGGGGTGAAGGCTTTTCCAAGGGATGAAGCCAAATAGATTTCCTAGCTCCAGGAGTGGAGGGGGAAGGTGGGATGCGAGAGTGTGGTATAACTCTGGAGGACCGGGCACTGGTGTCTGGAGGAATCTCTCTTTCAAAAAAGCAGTAAGGGCAGGGGCTTGGCTAGGGTTCAGTGATACAGTGCAGATGAGAGAGGGGGAAAGAAGGTTTCTAGAAACAGAGGAAGGAGCCAGGGCGAGAAGGCGCTTCTTGCAGAGATGCCTAATGGGTTGCCTAGACAGAAAGTTACCAGTGGAGGTGATGGAACACTAGGCTGCAAGTCGGTGGTCTGAGGTAGGTGGGGTGAGAGCCAAGTACTTACCTGAGGATCTTTATCTGTTCATCTTCCCTTTAGAGGAGGAGGCAGCTTGGACCTTGCAAAGTGGTCCGTGGTATGTTGGGCAAAATAGGTTGGCCCTCGAATGGTGGGAAGAGATGGTAGCAAATCAGGTGCCGAAGAGAGGGCCAATCACTAAGAGGACGGAGGTATGGATCAAGGTTTTTGGGTTGCCTTTAGTGCTTTGGTGTCCAAGTGTAGTGAAGGGAATAGGTGATCTCTATGGGGGTTTTCTAGGTAAAGACGATCCAGCGGCCGAACTCAAGACATGTGAATGGGGGAGGACCAAGGTGAAAGTGGGAGGAGTAATCCCTGAGAAGGTGGAGATGGTAACGGGTAACTTGTCTTTTTGGGTTTGGATTTGGCAAGGGGTCAGGCTAGAAGTGGGACAGAGGGAAGGGTGTGGGGGGTTTTGGGAAGAGAGGGCAGGGAGGAATGACAAGGGGTGAGAAGAAGGGGGGTCGGAGATTAGTAAAACGGTGGTGCTGGTGATGGAGGAAGAAGAAAGCTCAAGTCGGGGAAGGTTGCCGGAAAAAAGGCTATTGGAGAAGAAAACGGAGAGGAAAGGGCAGCCCGTATTGCATATGGGTGTCGAAGAGACTCCTTTAGACTCATGGAAGGAGATGAAAATTTCGCCCCCACCGAAGAACTGTTTGATGGAAGATCTGGCTTGGGATGGAGTGAAAAAGAATTTTCGAGTTTTGAACTATGAAAACAAGCGGGAAGTTATCTCCAAGGATTGGTTAAAAGAAACTCTCCTAGAATGCTTGGTGGAATTAAATTTGGTGTCAGAAAGATTTGGGTCAATTCTTGTGGGTTGTCGAGAAAGAGAAGCTCCGAGGAACTCACTGGGAATATCGGGAGGGGTATTTTTGGAAGCGGAGGGTAGCTAGAGAGTTAGAGTCGACAACCCTAATTTAATGTGGGGTCTAGAGTGCTTTGTTAGAGATCGAATGAGGATGGACCCAGTGCAAACCGAACCTGTTAGGTTGGACTGGGGCCTCTCTCCATTGGCTAGCAGCTTCGGCCCAGTTACCAATAGTGCAAGAAGACTATGTTGAGGCCCGATGCCGTAGTGAAGTTAGAAGTTCCGCTATTGGAGTTTCGAACCTGGAGAAAACTCCTTAGTCAGAATAAAGGTTTCAGCCAGAATCTATGCCCACGACACTGGAGGGAACACAGTTAGTGTGTGTTTGGGATTAGGAAGCTCGTGTCGTTCCTAATCTGGAGGTGGAGAAAGTTGCTCCCGTAGCGGTGATCAACGACAAAGCAAGTGCCGATCACAGAATAAGCCCCTCAATTGGAGCCAATCTATGGGTTTTTTTAGGGAAGGGCTTAAGAACAGAGAGAAAGAGGGAGATAAAGACAAGGGGGTGGAAGGTTCTTCAGCCTGGGTTAATTCAAAGCTTTTGGGCCTCGAAAAATTTCTCAGGATTTCAATAGCAGGAATGGAGGACGAAATGATTAATTATTTGGAACAAATTGAGAGGAGGTGGTTGGAGGAGAAAGACAAAGCAAACGTGAAAAAAAGAGGGAGTTGGGTCAAAGAAGAATAGGGAGATGCTGAGATTGGCGTGAGGGTTAAATGATAAAGCAAGGAAGGGGGAGGGTGCTGCGAGGGGAGGGGGAAAAAGCAGTTGATAAGGGTTTGCATGGGATTGGGTTCTTTGTTCTTTGTTGTTAATGGAACTGACTCTTCTTTCTTGGAATGTTCGGGGATTGTGCTCCAGATGAAGGAGAATGGTGGTTTGTAATTTATTGAGCAAGTGGAAAACAGATGTGGTCTTCATCCAAGAATCAAAGATGGAAGCAGTCGACGCTAGGGTGATTGGAAGTATTTGGGGTCAAGGTCAGGTGAAGTGGGTGAGTAAGCTGGCTAGAGATAGTGTTGGAGGTATTCTGGTTTTATGGGACCAGTCGAAATGCAAGCTAATCTCGTCTCATGTGGGTGAGTTTTCAGTGTCGGTGGTTTTGGAGTTGGAGGGGGGTTCCAAGGGCTCTTTACTAATGTGTATGGCCCTACGAAAAATGGGGAGAGGGAGAGGCTATGGGAAGATCTGCTGGAGGCCAGAGGCAATTCCAATTTGCCTTGGGTTATTGGAGGAGATTTCAATGTGGTGAGGTTTGTGGAGAAAAAATGGTGGCCATCAGAGATCTAGGGATTTAAGAAGGTTTGTTGACTTTGTGAATCAGTTTAAGCTCTTGGATCTTCCTCTAACGGGGGCTCAATATACTTGGACAAAAAACCAAGAGTCCTTGATTCTGGTTAAGTTAGATAGATTTTTAGTTTCTCCGGGGTGGGATGATGCTTTCCAACATTTAAAACAAGTGGCTCTTCCTCGTCCTATCTCGGATCACTCTCCAATTCAGTTGGCTTGTGGAATTGTAGGAAATCAGGTGAGAAGAGGAACCCCTTTCAAGATGGAAAATGCTTGGTCTGAAGAAAAGGATCTGATTCTGCTGCTTATTTCAAAGTGGACTGGTTTCCAATCTGAAGGAACTAGTTCATTTGTTCTGGCTAGAAAGATCAAATGGATCAAAGAAGTATTGAAATCTTGGAAGTTGGATTTTCTAGGGAAGGCTGAAGCAGAAAAGTTGTGAATCTTGGGGTTCTCAGATCATTTGTTCTGGCTAGAAGTATTGAGCAGGTGGAGGTTTTTCTTGGGGTTCTCAGATGGTTTGAAGTGGTGTCGGGGTTGAGAGTTAATTGGGCTAAGAGTAGATTGATTCCTGTGGGAAAAGTTGTCAATCTTGAAGCTCTTACAGATGTTTTAGCTTGTTAGATAGGTGTCCTGCTTACTATCTATCTAGGTCTCCCTCTTGGAGAAAAATGCACTTCTTCTGCGGTTTGGGATCCGATGGAGAGAGAGGAAAGGAAACTTACCTCTTGGAAGCCAAATATCTTTCCTTGGGGGGCAGAACTACCCTCTTAAAAATCTCTCTCTAACCTCCCTGCTTATTTCTTTTCTCTATTTCCAATCCCGGTCAAAATGGCCCAAAGAATTGAAAAACTTCAGGGAGATTTTATTTGGAG